ATGTGCGTGAGACGCGTGTGACAACGTGAGACGCGTGCGAGACGTGTGTGAGACGCGTGGTAGACGTTGGAGCGCGTGTGACAACCGCGAAACGGGACTCGTGTGAGATGTGTGTGAGACGCGTGTTGAGACAAGTTGAGACGCGTGTGAGATGTGTTTGAGACGCTCGTGCGAGTACTGTGTGAGACGCATGTGAGACTGTGTGAGACGCGTGTGACAACGCGAAAACGCGTGTGAATCGTGTGAACAACGGAGATGCTGGACAACGTGAGACACGTGCGAGACGTGTGTGAGATGTGTGGGAGACATCACGTGAGACTCGTGTGAGATGTGTGTGAACGCGTGTGAGCACGTGAGACCGTGCGAGAGCGCGTGTGAGACGTGTGGTGAGATGTGTGTGAGAACAACGTGAGACGCTTAGACGCGGTGACATACGTGAGACGCGTGGAACCGTGGAGATGTGTGTGAGAGCGCGTTGTGAAAGTGAGACGCGTGTGAGAGTGTGTGAGACTGCGTGAGACAACGTAGACGCGTTGTAGACTGGAGACAAGGTGAATCGCATGTGAGCATGCAGTGAGATGTGTGTGAGACGGAGTGTGACAACGTGCAGCCGTGTGAGACGGCGTGTGACAACTAGTGATATCGCGTCTTGAGATGTGTGAGACGGTGTGACAACGTGAGATTGTGAGATACGTGTACAACGTGAGACGCGCTGAGATTGTGTGAGCACCGTGTGACAACGTGAATTTGTGAGACGCGTGTGAGATGTGTGTGACGAGCAACTCCGTGACAACGTAAGACGCTGTGTGAGATGCGTGTACAACGTAAGACGCGTTGAGATTGTTGTGAGATGCATGTGACAACGTAATACGCGTGTAGATGCTTGTGACAACGTGAGACGCAGTTGAGATTGTGTGTGAAACGCGTGTGACATACGTGATAACCGTGTGAGATGTGTTGTGAGACCGTGTGACAACGTGAAACGTTGTGAGACGCGTGTGACAACGTGAGCGGCGTGTGAAACGCGTGTGCCACGCGAGACGCGTGTGAGATGCTTGTGAAACGTTGCTAGACACGTGAGACGTGGTGTGCGACGACGTGAGATCGTGTGTGAGACAAGTGAGACCGTGTGTGAGACAACGTGAGACGCGTGTGAAGACAATCGCGAGATCGCGTTGTGAGAACAATGTGAGACGTGTGTGAACATACGTGAGACGCGTCGTGAGACAACTGGAGACTGTGTGCGACGATCGGTGAAGACGTTGTGAGACAACGTGAGACGTGTGTGAGACAACGGAGACGCTGTGAGACAACGGGCGAGACGTGTGTGAGATCAATGTGAGACGTTTGTGAGACAACGGAGACGCGTGTGAGACAACGTGAGAGTGCGTTGAGACAACGTGAGACGTGTGTTAGACAACGTGAGACGACGTGAGAGCGTGTGTTGCGACGACGTTTAGACGTTGTGAGAAAACGTGAGAGCGTGTGTGAGAAAGTGAGACGTCGTGGTGAGACAACGTGAGACGTTGTTTGCGACAACGTGAGATGACGTGTGTGGAGACAGTGTGAGACGCGTGTGAGACAACGTGAGACGTGTGTGAGAAACGGTGGGAGACGTCTGTGAGACAACGCGAGACGCGTGTGAGACAACGTGAGACGTTTGTGTTAGACAAACGTGAGATGTGTGAGACAAGTGAGACGTGTGCTTGAGACCAAACAGTTAACCGTTTGGGAGACGTGTGAGACAACGTGAGGGCATGGTGTGAAGACAATGTGAACGTGGGTGAGACATACGTGAGCACTGTGAAGCAACGTGAGGCAGGTGTGAGACAATGCGAAGACGCGTGTGAGGACATGGATGTGAGACTGTTGAGACCAAACAGTGAGACGTGTGAGACATAACGTGAGGCATGTGTGAGACAACGCGAGACGCGTGTGAGACGACGTGAGACGTTGTGTTGAGTACGAGTGAGACGTGCGCGAGCGAGACAATGTAGACAATGATCTTGGGAGACGGAGATATGGCGCCATGTGTGCACACTATCGC